GGAGTTCGAGGGCACACTGGGCTACGTGAGATTTAACCGGTCCAAAAGAGAAACAGAATTCACATCTTTGATTCCAGCAATTGGGATCTCATGTCTTTTATCCTAGCACTGGGAAGGTGGAGACAGGAAGTGATATGGCTGGTGGAGAGAGGAGGAATATAAGGCGGGAGGAGACAGGAGCTCAGCCGTTTCAGCCTGAGGATAAGAACTTTTATGACTGGCCGCTTTAATTCTCTGATCTTTCATCTTCCACCCACTAACATCTGACTCTGGGTTTTTATTATTAAGGTCAATTAGATACGTGCTGTACAGACATCTGCTGTTAATGGGGGACTGGGGTGTCTCTAAGGCTTATGTGGCAAACCACAGCTGGGAGGATGGATGGATGGGTAGGGAAAATGTGTGCATCACAAAAACAGAGACAAAGTTCAGGTATTGAACACCACTAAACTGGAGGGGCTTCCCAAACACCATTGGCTTTTCATGAGAAGCCCAGAACGATCTTAGATGTTAATAACCTATGTCCCAAGAACTAACTGGAGAGGTGAAAACATGTAGTGAGTACACCAGCAGGAGAAAAAAAATGGAATAGAAGAAACATTTGATAAATAATCTCAGGCAATATACCCTCAATCATAGATTCAAGTTGTATGTATGTCTTTCTATGTGTGTGCGTGTGAGAGAGAGAAAGATAGGTGGAGGAGGGGAAGGGAGAGAAAGAGATTAACACTGAAATCAGTCAGTTGGGGTGTAATTGATGAACAGAAACTATTATGACTTGATTCTGAACTTTCCCCAAGTGTCGCAAGGAGCTGCTTGTTTGTCCCGGCCGCCCGGCTGGCTTAGCCCCAAAATAACCACACAGAAATTGTATTAATTAAATCACTGCTTAGCCCATTAGCTCTAGCCTCATATTGGCTAACTCTTACATTTTGATTTAACCCATTTTTATTAATCTGTATATTGCCACATGGCAGTGGCTTACCGGCAAAGATTCAGCATGTCTGACTCTGACGGTGGATCTATGGTGTCTCTCTGACTCTGCTTTCTTCCTCCCAGAATTCAGTTTTGTCTTCTCTTAGCCAGGACTACACAAAGACACCATCTCTCATCAAAAAACAAACAAAACAAAAAATAAAGGCAGAAAGAAAAGAAGGAAGGAAAGAAGAAAAACAAGTTATTAATTTCTCCCAGACTTTCTAGTTTGGGGGCCTACCTAAGTTCTGCCCTATCAGGCCAAGGCAGTTTCTTTATTCATTACCCAATACAAGCAACACACAGAGGGGACTACCACATCATCCCAAGTTCCACAATAGCCAGGACTACACAAAGACACCCTCTTCTGGTCTGCAGACAGAATATTGTATACATAATAAGTAAATAAATATTTAAAAAAACAAAACAAAACAAAAATAAAGACAGAAAGAAAAGAAGGAAGGAAAGAAGAAAGAAAAATAAGTTATTAATTTCTTCCAGACCACATCCTTAACCTCAGCACTCTCAAAAAGCAGACAAGTCATTATGTGCAAGGCCAGCCTGATGATTTAGTGAGTTCTGGGTTAGCCAGGTTACATAGTGAGACCCTAATCTTCAAAATACAATAAGCAAGATAAATTAGAAAACTAAAGATATCGCAGAAGGGCCCTTAGCCAATGAAACCTTGCTATAGCTGATCCATTTCAACAAATAGAGGAAACAGAGGCACAAAAAGGTGAGATCATTTGCCTCCATGTCTATGAACTGGTTTAGTTACTGTGTTTCAATAAATACCTAGCGCCCTCTACTGTGAAGATTGTTACAGAGACTGTAAACAAAAGCACAAACCCACTGCATTTCGTAGGAGGGAAAAAGTTAAAGAAATTAATTAAAAGCCTATTTGAGAGTCACTGATGCAGAAATACAGGGCCAGGGCCTAAAGCCACGTCTTGGTGTGTGGTATGCAGAAGCAAGGCAGACACTTTCTCTGGGGCAGGAAAGAGAAGTAAGCAGGGAAGATGGGAGAGACAACACAAAGTGACAAACATCTAGTCTGGCTGGGGCTTCACAAAACGAGAGAGACAGCGCGCACTCAGCCACAGCGCCTGTTCCCAGGGAGATTAGAAAGCAGACTCTCAAGTGGAGACAGGAGTTTATCTGCCGGCTCCATCTGCTCTCTCTCTCACTGGGAAGGGTACACCTGGTGGCCAAACCCTCCCAACAACTGGGAAAGACAAAGCCCTGTGACGGGCTGCTTCTGTTAAGTTTGGAAGTGAGCCACACTGCTATAGGTCCCCCTGAGTCAGGCCTGGGAACTGGCACCCCATTTTGGGATAGAGGCAAGCCTGACACTCCCTCAGGAGAGAAGACAGACAGCTGGCCTGGTACCTGTCTAGGGGTAAATGTAAAGGTCCCCTCAGACTCCTCTGATCTCATCTGTGTCTCAGAATCTGGCTGCTTGCTCATGCCAAGCCCTGATGAGCCTCCTCATAGGTACCATGACCAAAAGGCAAGTTGGGGAGGAAAGCATTTACTTGGCTCATACTTAAGCATTACTGTTTATCACCAAAGGAAGTCAGGACAGGAACTCAAACAGGGCAGGATCCTAGAGGCAGGAGCCCATGCAGAGGCCATGGAGGGGCACTGCTTACTGACTGGCTCAACCCACGGCCACCAGCGCAGGGATAGCACCACTTGCCCTGGCCTGGACCCTCCACACTGATCACTAGATGAGAAAATACCATACAGCCTCTTCCTCTGGTGACACCTCTTTTAAGTCAGTTCGAAACTGCCCTTTGCTTGATCCTTCCGATAACCAGGTGTCCTGGGTTATCAGTATCGACTGGCCACAGAAGGGTGGGGGTCCCTCTTGTGTGGCAAGATTATTTCGTTACCACGGTTGCAGGGCCAGTTGGGTTTGGCAGCCTTCAAGCAGGCAAATGTTCCCTTAATATTTCACTTTAGTAATTTTCCATACCACATACAAGAAGAAATGCTTTTGCATTACACCAAGTTGCATTCATTTTTATTCTATAAATTTCCTGTTCTATCTACACTACAGATTCCCCTTTCTTTATTCATTCAGAGGAATCTGATTCCATGCTCATTACACATACCAATCCCAGTTCCTACTCCCTCCTCTCCTCCTGGCCCAACCCCCATTTCCTCTGACCCCCACCCCCATCCACTCCTCAGAGAGGTTAAGGCTTCCTGTGGGGAGTTAGAGTCTAGTAGTCCATCACTTTGAGGCAGGACCGTGGCCTTCCCCCACATCTAGGCTCACGGTTGTGTGTGTACACAGATGTGGCCAAGGGTGTGTGTACAGTCAGAGGACAACCTGTGTGAGTCAGTTCTCCCCTCCCGCTTTGTGAATGCCTAGGATGGCAGTCAGTCCGAATTCAGGCTTGGCAGCAAGCACCTTTACCCACTGAGCGGTCCTCTACTCAAACTTTCTGTGACTTCCCCTTGCCTTTTAGGTTACCATCCCATAAATATTAATACCTCATAACTGAGAAGTTCTGGAAGCTCACCACCCATCCTGCCGGTAATGAGGCTAAGATGAGTAAACCAGGCCCCAGGCTCTGCAGTGGGCTGCCAGAACAAGCACCTAGGGATGCATCCCTATAGCTGCAGGACTCAGCTCTCCAACTGTGATCCAGCTGTTACCATACTAATCAGAACAGCTGTACTTACTGTGCCACTCCCTCCTAGGCATGGGGGTTGGGTCACTAGACCCTCACCTAAGATGACAACCACTTACCTGTCCTGGCCCTGGCCCCAGTAGCACATGGTATTGGGAGGTGCTAGAGAACACAAGAGATGGATGGTCACTGGAGGAGGGACTGCATTGATGCAGCCGTTAGGTTAGCACTCGGGCTATGCTGGACACCCACGCTCCCGAAATAAAGCCTAATTAACCACTGGTTCACCAAGCTGGACGTGGATGGAATGTTACTCTGGTATGTTGTTGGTGCCCTATGGTGTCAAGAGACTGTACACGTCTCAAGAAAGGTTTACAGAATGCCATGAGCAGACAGACAGGAAAAAGGGGCAAGAAATGAACCTGAGGGCAGAGCCAGGACAAAAATTTCTCTTAAAATTAAAAATGCCATTTACAAAAAATGAGTAAAAGTAGTGTGTTGCTTTGCTTGACAATGAAGGCCGAGTGATGTTTTTCTCTCATCTTAGGAACTGCACATGAATCTACTAGATATTTTAATTATCATCTGTGGCCTGTGGCCCAGGCTCTGCCACAGCCAGAATAAGCAGGTTCAGATTAAGTCTCTATTGTTCTATTTACCAGTAACACTCAAGAGTCAAAACCTGCTAGCTCAGAGAGGTTGAGTAGCAACTAGTTGTCCTTGCTTTTTGGCAGAAGACGCTGCAAGAGACAGACTCTCCCCTTGTCCCAGAACCAAAAAGAAGCTCCAAACTCAAGTTCCCGCCCTTTCCTTCCTATGCATCTTCTCTGTCCAAATTGCTGGCTTCTCTATGGCCAATTCCATTCAGCTAGTCGCTGGTTCTGTGCCCTGATACAAGGCTTAGCTTTAGGGCAATCTCCGGACTGTCAGCGTACAATTAAAACAGCCAAGATCAGTGGTTTTAAAATTAATACCTTCATTATTCTCTTTATCAGCTGCATACCTCAATGAACATCATTGGTAAAATAAATATAAAAATGAATAAACGGCCCAAGGGTTTCTTGAAGTTGGCAGAGTGCCTGCATCTCATGTGTAAGGCCCTGGAGGTGGCCGGGGGGAGGGGGGAGGGCAGCAGACCAGAACCCTGACAGAGATTACACCTTAGTTTCACTTCACTAGAATGGGACAGAGCTGAGTAAGCAGGTCTCATGAAAACCATAACTTATGGGTGGTGCGGGAGAATTATCTGTATTCTGTCAATCATATTTTAATAAAACGCTGATTGGCCAGGCAGGCAGTATAGGCAGGAAAGCCAGACAGGAAGTAGGGGTGGAGCAAAGAGACTGGGAGTATTCTGGAAGCAGAACCTCCCTTGCCACTCCTGCGCAGACCACTGAAGAGGCAGCATGTAACTTGCCCAGCTAAAAAAGGTACAGAGCCATTATGGCTAACATAGATAAAAATAATGGGGTAACATAAGTTATAAGAGTTAACAAGAAGCCTGACCTAATGAGCCAATCAGCTTTATAACTTATAGAGATCTCTGTGTGGTTGATTTTCCTTGGGGTATGCCAGCTCTGGGGTACCAGGCGGGACGAAAACCCCAACAAGCCGGCCCCATCTGTTACATATGGGCGACCATCAGCAAGCACCCCCAAAACAAAAGCCCTTCTGCTAGCTCAGCAGATGCCCCCAAACTTCTGCAGGCTAAAGATAGCTTCCCCTACCTGGATGCTGGAAGGTCCTAATCACTAGGACCTCCCACCAATCAGCCCCCAAACTAATCTTTCCTCCACCCATCAACCCCAGATTAATCCCTCCTCTCTGGAATTCCCCTAATTCCGCTTAAAAGGAGCTTGTGACCTTCTTTGGGGCTCGCTCTTTTGCCATCCCAACATTGGAACCAATAAAGTGCTCTTGTTGCATACGTGGTTGTTGGTTTTCTTGGGGGGCTTTTCTCAGACTCTTTAACAGTTGGAGTGTGTTGTCCGGGAGGTCCTCCAGAGATACCTCCCGCCCCATGCTGAGTGTCTGATAAACTGACCGGCCGGTAAGTGCAGTGAGCGGTCTTTGTCTTGATCTGTCATCGTTCTCTGATTGTCACTGTGCAGTGGGTTTTACCTGTTCTATTTCTCTGGGAAGCTTGAGCTAACTGAATCTGGAGGCTGAGGTTTGCCTGGCAGACGCACTAGAGGCACCTTCATCACAAGCTGGGAGACCTGGGTCTATTTGGTTGAATGGAGAACACAGGTTGTGCCTGTTGCAAGACGGAGCTCCCCAGGGATACCTGCCTTCAGTCGGTGCTGGTTCCTGGTTTCTTTTTCGTGCGCCGAAACGGGACATTTCTGTCAGTGTTATTTTCGTGTCTTCTTGTCTGTAATGTTACCTCATTCCTTCTCTTAGGAGTGGGTCAGTCAAACTCAGCTTCCTACCTTGAGTCTTAGTTTGAACTGTTCCAAGGTCTTACCCAAACGGCTCATCGCCTGGAGAGGGTGGAGGTGTGTTTCTTGATAGGACCTGGCAGGACTTTGGGTGCCTGACAAAGCAGCTGCTGCACTCCCCTCTCCCTTCACTGTGGACCAAGGTCCTTGCAGCCAGTTACTTCCCCTTAACCCTTCTCTCTCTCTCTCTCTCTCTCTCTCTCTCTCTCTCTCTCTCTCTCTCTCTCTCACACACACACACACACACACACTTGTGGTTTTGTTCATTCAGATGGAATGGGTTATAAATATTTGCCATCATTTGGAGGGGTGGGTTACAAATTATCACTGGTTAGAGTAAGAGGAAAAAAAAACTGCTGGCCTCAGTTGTTTCTTGTTGGTGCAGGTTTTTATGTAATTTGTTATGGTATATGTATGTTTCTGTTCTTATTGAAAGTATTACAGGTATACAATATTCTAGAGTACCAAAGGAACCACAAGAAGGACTTTGATAAAAGTTTTCATGGTGTCTGAAAAAAAGGCAGAGACTAAAATAAAAAGAGAAAGAAAAGGCTGTCTCAGTAAGAATGTCTGGCTGGACCAGAGAAGCAGAGATAGGAACTGAGTATAGCAAGTTGTAAAAGGCCGGAGGAGACATGAGATTTGAGCATGTTATGTTAATTCTGGTTGGCTTTCTTTTTTAAAAATAAAAATAAAACAAAGCTGATTCACTACAAAATGTTTGTGATGGGAACGTAGTCATACTCTTTCAAGGAGAGAGGGGGCCAGACCACTGCCTACTGCACCCCTGTACCTTATCTTTCCTTCTCCAGGCGACTTGGAGTTCTTTCCTACCCCACCACCTTACCCCCAAGCACCCCAGGATGAGAGGTCCTGGAGGGCAGAAAGGGAGGGATGGAGGAGCCCCCAACGCGTTTCTAACTGCTCCAGACCTCTTCACCACTGAGAGGGACCGGATTATAACAGAGGCTCAGAAATTGGTTCCAGGCCCAGATGGAAGACTCGCCACCAATGCAGACCTCATAAATGTTGGGTTTCCTGTGATGTGACCCAATTGGGATTTCAACACAGAGAAAGGTAGGGAGAGGCTCAAACTCTACCTCCAGACTACAATGGAGATGTGTCCGGGCAGCTGCGAGGTGGCCCACAAATTTGCCCAAAGTTAGTCGGGTACTCCAAGGGCCTGAAGAAACACCAGGAACATTTCTAGAGAGGCTGATAGAAGCTTGTAAGACTTATACACTCATGGATCCAGAAGCACCAGAGAATCGGTCTCAGTCAGCCTGGCTTTTGTCAACCAGTCAGCACCAGAAACCCACCTTAAACAGCGGAGACTAGAAGATTTTAAAGATAAGAGGTTGGCTGAACTTATCTCAGTTGCTGAGAAAGTATTCAATAATAGGGAAACCCCAGAAGAAAGGCAGACAAAGGGGCTTATGAAAGCTTTAGAAAGACAGAGCTGGGCTCACCACGATCCTTCTAGCTGCACCAGGCAGCCCAGAGGTTGGGAGACAGACAAGGGCCCTGGGTGACTCACTGCGCAAAGGGACAGAAGCAGCGGCTGCGCAATAGGCCTAGTCTGCAGAAAGACCGATGTGCCTACTGTAGGAAGCTGGGTCACTGGAAGAATAAATGCCTTGGATGACAGGGCTCAAGCGAAGGTACTGGAACTGGAAGAAATGAGTGACTGAAGGAGACAGGGCTTGGAGCCCCTCTCCAGGAGCCTTGGGTAACCCTAAAGGTGGAGAAACCCACAGATTTTCTGGTAGATACCAGAGCACAACACTCCATTCTAAAACAACCCCTAGGCAAAATGTCACCAGAACAATCCTGGGTTCAAGGGGCTACAGAGATGAACCGGCACTCATGCACTACTTGAAACTCAATAGACACAGGAAAGAGCCGGGTGACCCACTCTATTATGGTCATCCCTGAGTGCCCATACCCACTACTGGGAAGAGACAATGGAGACCTGCTCCAGAATTGACCCAAACAGAAACTGGGGACCTGACAAAGGGGGAGGGGATGCGCCCATCGCATCCCCTCCCCCTCAACAATACAGCTGAAAGCTGGGGCAATGCCAACATGTGTCAAACAATACCCAATGCCCAGAGAGGCCAAGCAGGGGATCACTCCCCATATTAGGTGCCTCAGAGGCCTGGGTATTTTGGTCCCTTGCCAGTTAGCCTGGAACACACTCCTATTGCCAGTAAAAAAAAAAGCCCAATTCCAATTACTACAGACCAGTGCAACACCTGCCACTGGCTCCAGCCAGGCAGCCTATGTTTGCTTTCCAATGGGCGGATGCAGAGGATGGATTCAAAGGAGAGCTGACCTGTGTGGTGCACAACGCCTGTCTGCACTCTATGCGCCACCATACAGTTCGCGAGCTTCGGGCAAGGGGCTGGAGGTTGAAACACACAAAGACTCACACAGAGACAGAGAGACAGAGACACGGACCTCTAGTCACTGGTAAGTAGCTCCTTATACAACAGCACCACAGAGGCTTATATACCCAACAGTCAGGTGGGTCAACAGGTGAAAACCTTGTCCTCTGATCCTCAAGGCCAAGGCAACACGTGCTCATGAAGCAGAGCTGGTAAACAACTTTGACACAGCCTTTAGTAACTCAAATCAGAAGGAAAGATCTCTAGCAGGGAAGACCTGGACACAGCTACTCCAAGGGTTCAAGAACTCTCCTAACATCTTTGATGAAGCACTCCACGAGGACTTGGTGAATACCAACAAGCCCACCCCAACATCAGTATGTGGATGACTTCCTGAAGGCAGCGGACACCTTGGAAGCCTGCAAAGCTGCCACTGATTAATCCCTCCTCTCTGGAATCCTCCTTGGAAGCTTGTGACCTTCTTGGGGGGGGGGGGGCTGCTCTTTTGCCACCCCAACACTGGGATCAATAAAGTGCTCTTGTTATTGTATACGTAATTGTTGGTCTTCTTTGGGGGGTTTTCTCAGACCCTTACAAGTTTGACCTCTAGAACCACAAAAAAAGTAAAAGCATGACTGCATTTGAATTAAAGAAGACAGCTAATAATGAATATGCAGGGCCTGTAATTCACTGGCAGTTGCAGCATGGTACACGTTTTTTCTCTACCACAGGGATGAGCCTGGCAAGCAGATGGCACAGCTATTAATAGATCAGACAGTCTCCCCAGGTGCAAAGAGGAACATGACAAAGTTCTTAGAATCCAATTACCATTTTCTCCTGGCCCCTTTCAACTTCTTCACAGCTTATCATATGCATCTCGCTAGGAAAAGCTGTTTCCTCTATTAAACCCCCACATACAGATCCCAATGTGCAGGGCTTTCCCCCCAACAGGTACCAACTCTCCAAGAATCTGGATAGCGACAGGCATCCCACAATTCAATGCCAACATGACCTAGAGTTAGTGTAGCCCACTGGTTAAGGGAAAAGTCCCACAAGACCACCCCCACTTCAGATTACATCACAACCAGTGGTTCCCCAAACTACCCACACTTGCAGCCTGCTTGGCTACAAATCAAAGTTTCTATAACCTATCAAGGTTGGCTTTAATAGCAACTTGCCAGGCTAGAATCACGTTTAGAACTGTCTTGATTGCCTTGGCTGAAGTGGGAAGGCCCACTCCAACTGTAGGCTGCACTCTCTGCTGGCAGCGCAGGTATAAAGTGGATGTCAACAGCAAGACCATCGTGGATGTCAACAGCAAGACCATCTTGCCTCCTGCTCAGCTGGCCTTCCCTCTTGCCAACAGCTAATTTGCACTGTTGCTGCTGCTGGTTGGTCACCAGCATTTCCAAGTTATCATCATGGACTAGGGACCAGTAGTTCTCCACAGATCAGACTACTGAGGTCCCTACCTTGTGGACTAAGTAATTGCCCATTGTTGCCCCTCCAGTTAGAATTACTATAGGACCACTCGGATTATTGCAGCATCTAGTCTCAAGAACGAAGTAACTACTGGGTTCACAGATTCTCCAGTGTGATCTTGTTGTTCTGCCTACTCAAAAACCTACCTAAACTCATAAATGTATTTTTTATCCCACTGAATCTGCCCTTTTAGAGAACTCTGACTAATATAAGTCCATTATTAGGAGTTTGGTAATTTTGCTAGGACAACTTTAAAAAATGCAGGAAAGCACTGGATTTGGCTTTAAGAGTGTATACAAATCAGCAGCTGGATAAAGACGTTGCCTCAAAGGTCTCATGCACAGGGATGTCTGTCTACATAGAGTTGGGGTGCACCACTTTCCTGGCATAGCAATGTTTTCCAACCAGGAAGCTCTCCAGACTTCACAGGTAAAGGATATAACACAGACGCAGCCCATCGGCATGATCAATAATTAATCTCCAGCCCAATCTGCTCCCTGGGATCAGCTGGAAATTGCAATTTTCTAGTCATGGCTTTGTCTTTCTGGTAAGCAGCTCCCACCTTGAAGCCATCCAAGAATCACCTCACTATAATCAGAACAAAAGATGCTCTGATTGAGAGGAAATTCAAAGGCACTTGAGAACTACCGTCAGGAGCCGGGTCCAACACAAGATGCACCTATCACTTAGGACACTACGAGGGTCTTAGAAACTCTGAACAGAGAACTGGGAGTGAAGATGAGGCGAACAGGCTGGCTGATGCTGAATGCGTTTTTTGCAAGCTGTTCCCTACGGACACACAGAAAATCAGTACACAGACGTTACATCCCAGAGGGCTTGGGTTTCCTCATCTTTCCCAACATCAAATCTGTGTGCATGGCACCTGCAGTGCCGTCCACTTCACACAACTGACGTACTTTTCACTGCACACCCATACGGAGGCTGGACATGGCAGGGTTGAATACCTGCTGAAAGGCAGTGATTTTTTTAAAATTAATTTTTAAGTTAGCATACGAAGAAATGAGTCCCACGATACATCTTCATACCCTGTGTGACATTGTACTTTATTCTAACCCCCACCCCGCCCCTTTCCTGTGCTTGCTGCCCGCTCCCCTTGGCGGCTCCCAGATAACCCCTCCCTTCTGGTCTCCTATGACACCATCCCATTATCTTCTGTTTCTCCCTCCCCTCACTTCTCAAGATCTCTTTTCTGTCATGATCTGCACTTCACACATGTAATTTCAACCTAGGTTCCACATATGAGATTAGATATATTGTTCTGACTTTGGTTATGCACTTGCTGTGAGTCCCAGCTTTATCCCCATCCCTATAGGCAGTATGTTTTGAAAATACATATGCTTTATTCAAATAAATTTCTTTTCCATAAGAAACAAGACCATGAAATGGAAGCTTAAAGACATTACACATGAAATGTCAAGACTATTCTCTATACTCTACTGCCACTCAGTCCTGAGCCTGCAAAAGCCTCAGGTTAGGACATATCGGGTGAGTCCTCCTCCTCGAACCTCTGATAGTCTCTGGCAATGTCGCAAGATGTTCAAGATCGCGTACAGCCTCTTGTCGGTTTTCAAATTCGTGAAGTCCTTTAGGTCAGCTTCCACGAAGAAATAACGACCTGGAAAGAGAAGCAGCAGGTTCTAACTTCCACGAGTCCCATCCTCACAGACGTTTGTATGGAAGCACCTTGTGAACGGCTGAGTCCTTCTTACTGTCCCTGTCCAAATACTAAACACAGCGGAAATGGCATTCCTGCTAAAACAATGCTCCAGCGACTGAGGCAAATTGACATCACTGCCGCATTTCTTCAGGGTGGTCCTGCTGTCGAGGGCAGTGCTAGTGTGCCTTAACAGCTCACTCCAGAGACATTCTGCGGAGATGGTAAACAGAAAGGAACCCACAGCAAGTCCATCATTTAACTAGAAGACCTTGGGTGAGCTGAGAACTCTTTGTCTAGTCTGCAAAATGGGTCAAGGGCACTAAAGAAGACTGAAGCTAAGAGCTGCCCAGCACACAGTGACGGGTCAGCACGGCTGGGGACAAACAACTCTAGATGCACCATTTCCTAGAATTCTAGGCTTGTCCTCCAAGCAGCTGACATGCCCTCCTCATAGATTCCACCACTTTACCTTTTGTGTCCTTCGTTTCTTCATTAACAAATCTTTGGTAGTGATTTCTCTTCACGGAAGTCATAGATGCTTTTGGTTGATGCATAATCTTGTATTTACTAACCACTGCCTTATTAATTTCTTTAATAACATCATTAATTTGACAATATGTCAAACGGGATTTCATGTACCTGGTTTTTTTAAAAAAAAGTATATGATTATTCTTTTTTATATTTTATATTTTCTTTATTATATATTTAAATATTTACTTCTACTACTTTTTTAAACAATAAAATAAGGTAAAACAAAAACTTAGCACATTGGAATTGGAGAGAAACAGAAAGAAAAGAAAAGGCACAAGAATCAGAGATCTACTCGTTTGCACACTCAGGGATCCCATAAAAACACTAAACTGGACAATTTATACAGAGGGCCTGGTGCAGACCCATGCAGGCCCTGTGCGTGCCGCCTCAGTTTGTGAGTTCAAATGTGCGTCAGCATGCTGATTTAGAGGACTTGATTCCTTGGTGTCCTCCATCCCCTCTGGCTCTCACACTCTTTCCACCTCCTCTTCAGGAGGGTTCCCTGAGCCCCCAGGAGAAAGACTGACTGAGACGCCCTGTCAGAAGCTGAGTTTCCCTGAGCCCCCAGGAGAGGGACTGACTGAGACATCCAGTCGGAGGCTAAGTGTTCCCATGGACACAGTTACTTTAGAAATTGTCCCTCACACTTTCCCTTTGAGATGATAATGTAATTACATTTCTCCCTCCCCCTGATGATAGGATTCCTGCAAACAGTGAATGGACCTAAAATGCTGGACTTCCTGCAAGAAAAGTGGCAGGCACCAAACCACAAAGTGACATAGTACAAGGGTGTGGTGGCACATACCTTTAACCTCAGTGCTTAGGAGAGGTGGTGGATCTCTGTGAGTTCAAGGCCAGCTTGGTCTATATAATGAGTTCTAAACCAGCTAGGGATACACAAGCAAACACTTCCTGGCCTTTTTGCTTCAACATTACATGTTACAATTCATGCAATCAAGCTTTATGACTTAAACAATCATGCATGTTGATTAGTAGTAGTGAACATTAGAATTTATGCTCAGTACTTACGCAGGAACACCACTGAATTCATCAGTCGTTACAAATTGCATTTCCTTAATTACTCTCTGTTCTTTGGGAGGCTTCTTTGCCAGGACAGGTTCCTCAGCGTTGACTGGCTCTGGAGGATTCGGATCAGCTCCGTTAGCCCTACAGAGCAGAGATGAACACAGGTAACTATTAGAATCAAGCTGCACACCACACTTCTTTTTAATCGGAGTGGGGGACTACAAATGCGTGACATACCCTGGTTTAATAATTTCATAACCAATGTTTTCTTCCTAGCTCTACCCCTTGATTATGAAGATCTAAACTGTGAAAGGAATTTTGAAAATTAAGTTCCGAAATCTTCAGAGTATGACTATTTTCATTTATATACTCAAACATGTCATGAGCAGAACACAACACACCAGTAGTCCTGTTTGCTTCTCACAGTCAGCATATGTAAAGCTGAGCTAAACTCCAAACAGCTTCTCTGCTCTTCCCTAGCTGTGCACCAGGAAGCAGCTGTGCACCAGGAAGCAGCAGCATCTCCCGTCCATCCTGGTGTCTTCTGTTAGTTCTGACTATTAGTCACTACCCACTGTGGCCTCATTCTGGCAAATGGAGTCTAGAAATAGGCTGGGGTCAACTGCCAAGATGGAAGAGACAGCAGTTCCCACAATGGCCGAAATGTTCCAAGAAAGACATCCAGATCAGAAATCTATAGATCCAACACAGAAACAAGAAAAGGAATGCCCCAGAAAGACAACAGCAAGGGATCAGACCCAGAGCACAGCAAACACGACTGGTTGTTGTGGGCTGTCCATAAAATCTGAAATACTACCTTAGCTGTGTAGTAG